CCCGCAAAGCACAAGTCCGCTACAAATCGGTCCCCCGGACCCCTCCTGGGGCCCATGGTGACCCGCTTTCGAGACGGATCCGACCGCGGCGACGAGAAGCTCGCAGCACGGACGAACAAGAACGCCGGGGAGGGCCGCCGGTGTCTCGAACTCGCCACCTCCAAACACAAACGAAAAAGGCCAGGGTACCCCTCGGGGCCTGGCTTTTACCGACAGCGGCACTTCGATTGCTGCCTGCCCGAGGTGATCCGAGCAAGCGGCATTGAGACGCTACTGAATGGGTCACACAGGTCGTTGGCCCCAGTCAACTAGACGTCTCCCCGACCGTGTGTCAAGCTTGCGGGGAATGCCAGCTCATAAGCGCAGGGGGAAAAAGAGGCCTCCCCGTCCTCCGACTCCCTCCCCAGGGGTTCGCCGCCCAGGCAAGTCTTTTCGGGGGGTGGGCAAGCGGAGGGCCCGTTCTGGCTTTTCCCCGAGCTGCCACCCAATGCTCCCGTGGATCCCCCGACGGGCGCATGACGTGCGACAACGTGATCGTGGTTCGACCGTTTCGTTCGCATTTTCGCCCGCGATCTATCAGCAGGCTGAGCCTGCACCTCGCGCGCACAGCCTCTTAGTGCCAGAGCGACGGGTGCAGGCTTCTGCATACCGGTCCTATTTCCACAAGCTGGCACGGCCCCGAAGTCGAGGCGCCGTCGACCCAGGGGGTCGACGGTCAGCGTCCCCCAGGGCTCTCGCTTGTGGAAGCTGGCTCTCCAGCAGACCAAAGACCCTGAGGACGTCTGCCTTCGGGACGTGTCCTCGAGCCTGGGAGGGGCCTGGTCACAGGCGCCTCTTCGACGCCCGGACCAGACGGCCACATTCGAACAAACATGGATCCTCACGTTGCCTGTTCGGGGGGCATTATCTGTCCCGCCGAGCCCCTCCGCGTCGCAGCCGTGTCGAATTCATGTCGGACTCGTCGAATCTTCGTCGAATCCACGTCGAATCCGCGACCAAGCAACGCCAAATCTGCGTCGAGTGCGCATCGATCCCGCGTGGGGCATAAGAAAAGACACCAACGTTGTGGACAGACGGGGCCCCCCCGAAGATGCAGCGTAAAGATCTGCTCGGGCTGGCCCAACCCCCTAGGATCACTCTCTACGGCGCAGGTCCAAAGGCCGTCTTGGCGCCCCCTGCGGAATGACGCCACTTCAGCACTCGCCAGTCGCCAGAGGTCCCTGGGGGCCCCCCCAGAGGTCGAGAAAGGGAGAGAGATTGACAGAAACACAAAAAAAATTGGGGCGCATGCCCGCCTGGGCGCCAGGCGGCAAGCGGCCCGCGCCCCCAACGCTTCGGGCTGACGCGCAGCGAAGTGGGGAGAGCGACTGTGTACCCCAAGCCCTCGGCTCCCACCCACTTCGTCTATGAACGTTATATTTACCAGGGCCGATGACACACACACACACACACACACACACGTGCACACATAGTTACACACACAAAAACCACTAACAAGGGAGCCATGGGGGCGCGCACATGCCACATCAAGCCACCCACTGAGGCAGCGCCCAACGACACTGTACGGTCGACAACTGAACAATCAGTGAACAAAATAACACACGTTCAAGACTAACTGACGACCGCCAATGCTGGGTAAGCGGGCGAGGGCACAGGCGAGGGCATAAGCTCCGCAGAAGCCTCGAGCGCCCCAAACGGCTGGATCGACGCGCAATCGGCCGGAGCGTTGCGCCGCTTTGGAGACATCACCTGCTCGAACAACAACGGATGCGTCAAAGCGGCGGCCGCGCAAATCATAGCCGTGCCGACTGCCGCCGTGACCACGGCATCGACGCTGGTCGTCACCTTGGGGGCAAGCGGAGCATCTGGCTCGACAAGATCTGCGATGCGCTCCTCCGCTGCACAAAGAGCCCCAGCGAGGTGCTTCCGGGCGAAGCTCTTCTCGGCGCCTTTGGTGAATACCATAATCAGCGAAGACGGCAAGCCCGGCACCTTGTAGCCGTTGATTGCATCGCCGTCGTCACAGAGGGGGACGAACTCCAACACGTGCGGATGCTCCCTGAACATGGATCGCAATCTCTCTGCGAAGGCATCGATGCCAATGCCAGAGACCTTTCCAGAATACGGGGATTCCACCCAGCCCGCCTCGTAGCACATCGAGGGTTCCAAGGGACGCATGTCGGCTACATGCCCCACGGAGATGCCCATGCACGTCTGCAAGTGAAGCTCCACCAAATCCATGCCGTAAACATGCTGGTGCATCCTCTGGACAGAGCCACCGCCCATGCGTGCATTGACCTCCAAGATCCGCACGCCACACTGCGGGGAGAACCTCACGTCAAGGTCGAAAACCCCCGTCGTCAAGCCAAGCGCCTGCACGGAAGCAACGCAGTGAGAGGCAACAGAAGCCTCGACGACATGCCCGTGGGCAGTAGGGAAGCTGCGGCCCGTGCCCTGGAAGAACTGCCCATAGCTCTGCTTGTCGGCGTCCATGACGGAGCAAAACAAGAGGCGGCCGTGCTGCATCACAATTTCCACACCAAACTCGGGCCCGTCAATGTACTCTTCCAAAAGGAAAACCTCGTCCCGAATGTTGCGCTCGGCGCGCTGTTCCAAAAATGTCTTCACGGCCTCCTCTGCGGAAAAGACTTTGACGACACCAACAGAGGCAGAACCTTTCGCTGGTTTCAAGATCGCAGGGAACGCAATCTGACACACAGCCTGCTCAATGTCCTGCGTCGTGGAACATGGGAACGATTTCCACGGCTCCAGCCCATGGGCAACGAGGCACTTGCGGGTTTCGTTTTTGAACACGCATCTCCGTACTGCCTCGTAGCTGTTCGTCACCACACCGAGCCTCTCTGCGACCAAAGCGGTCAAGAGCAAGTACTTGTTGTACGCGTTGTAGGCACCAGTAACGTTGCCAATCGACGCGGCCCGCAAGGCGTCCACGACTGCATCGGCGAGCTCCGCTTCCTGCGGAAGTTGTCGGAGGCCTGGAACGACGACCACCTTGTGCACCACGCCAGTGACCTCCATCTCATGAACCCAAGAACCCTCGCCATCAACGACGACAGTGCTCATGCCCAACTCGTGCATCCTCTCGAACATGCCAAGGCTGCGAGCTCTGGGCCCGCTGCCAATTACCAGCGCCACCATGCGAGATCCGTCGGCATTCACGAACACCATGTGGCGAAGACGGAGTGCCGACAAGCGAGTGGCAAAAACAGACCACAAATACAAGACAAGGTTGCAAGCACCAGGGCTGGGGCCGAAATCGCTACGGTAAGCGCAGGAAGAAGAGGACGAAGAGGAGGAAGACTGGGAAGCGTAGATGCAAAAGGCGGCCGTCACGCGCATCATCTGCTAAGAACCCTGGAGCAAGCCAGAAGAACCATAGCCCTCGCAGTTGCGAATAAGAATGAGGGGGCGGCGGGGTCGTCGGCAATCTGCGAGGCTGTGAAGAAGACCGTCGCAGGTGTCGTTTTGTTCAGGCATTACACAATGAGCCCGCCGCAGGCGCCGATTCAAGCCAACGCAATGTGGGCGACTGTGAAAAGGTCCTCTAGTGGAGTTGCCTCCAGTAGTTCCCTTTCGTCATGCAGTTCTGCGCACCACACTTCCATAGTATGAGCCTCGAGATCCGCCCCCGATTCCTCATATATCGTTGAAAGCCGCCCCTCCTCCTGTAGAGGTTCGCCTTCAATCCTTCATCTGCCGGCCCCCTTGCGGAGCCACCAGGCTGTAGGCTGGGAGTGTGCTGCTCCCTGTACCAGTTGCAGCTTCCAGTGTCCACTGTCACAGTTCTGATTCTTGCTGATTACTGTTCCTTATTGATGAACACGCGAGGGGGGGGAGCCCAAAACAGCAGAACTACCACGCCCTGGGAGGGTTCTCAGAATTTCTGGGGGGGGGGGTAACAATTGGCACCCCTCACGCAGATCCGCAGGATCAGGATCCAAAAACAAAACGGATTTTGCCACATTTTTGAAATTCGGCGGCACCCCTCACGCAGATCGGCGGGGTCAGGGTCAAGAAACATATAGGATTTGCCACATTTCTGAAATTCGGCGGCACCCCTCACACAGATCGGCGGGGTCAGGGTCCAAAAACAGAAGGGACGTGCCACATTTCTAAAAATCCGGTAGCACCCCTTACGCAAATCGGCGGGGATCGGCGGGGTCAGGGTCCAAAAACATAGAAAATTTGCACATTTCTGAAATGCGGCGGCACCCCTCACGCAGATCGGCGGGGTCAGGGTCCAAAATCACAGGTGACGTGCCACATTTCTGAAATTCGGTGGCACCCCTCACGCAGATCGGCGGGGTCAGGGTCCAAAAACACATGGGATTTCCACATTTCTGAAGTTCGGTGGCACCCCTCACGCAGATCGGCGGGGTCATGGTCCAAAAACATACGGAATCCTCCACATTCCTGAACTTCTCTATCACCCCTCAAGCAGATCGGCGGGGTCGGCGGGGTCAGGGTCGAAAAACAAACAGGTCCCGACACTGCTTCACGACGGTGCCCAGACCTCATGATTTAGCTTTTGCATCTCCCATTGTCCGAGACAGGGGGCCGGCGGCATGGGGCGAAGCCCTTACGGATAATGAACCATTATCATAAAGCCCTTACCGAGGAACCATTGGCACAGAACATAACCCTCATGAGCGGAACGCTGGTAGAAAATATCACGCGGTTCGTCTGCTTCGGCGCCTCGGACTCCTCTCTCTGCTAAGAGCCCCAAGATCACCACGATGTTCCAGGCATGGCCTAAGCTATGATGCACTTGCCAGTTCGCGCCCAGATCGTGGGACCTCTCAAGCGAAACGCTGGCCCGACCACTCCCCTTTCAAACTCCCAAGATCAACGCCACATTCTCTCATTCAGACACGGGAGTGCCAATAACTGAGGTGCACAGCTGAATACCTCCGCGTCGAATAGCTGTTGTTCAAAACCGAGGATGTCCAGGCCTGCCCTATTTGAGCCCGGCCGCAGTCCTGGTCCACCGCGCCGTCCCGCTGAAGCAAGGCCTGCGCGCGAGGGACGAAAGGGTTGGGGGAGTGCTGACCCGGGTCAGCGAGCCAAGGCCACGGCGCCTAAACCAGGTCAGCCAAAGGACCCTGGAGGGGATTGGCTGACCACCGTCAGCGCTGACCCCCGATACATGTGCCCCGAGTTGTGCGGCCCAGACATCCGACGACATGAGGTTCCCCCAGCCATCCTGTGGTATTGGGTCCTCGTTTTGAATCTGCAGCGCCGTGCTCCGCTCCCTCCCGCTGCCCCCTCTCTCTTAGTCTTGGCGGGCGTTTTTACCACTCTGGGTTTCGACAAAAACAAAAAAAGAGTAAACTCGAGTGTAGATTCCCCAGACATGTGCTTGCACTTGGGGGGTTCTTGCTCCGCTTCTGCGAAGCTGGGCCCGCTGGCGGCCCCGGCGGCCAAGTGCCCGTCCGCCGCTGCGAAGAGGCCCGTTCGCGAGCCCGTCGGCCCCGTCGCCGTCCGTCGCCGCCGCATCGTTGCAGCCCCCTCCCCCTCCCCGTTCCAGTGCTATCGCGCTGCACTGCAAAAGCAATTCGTTGCATCGACATCGCAGTGCATTGCAAGTCGCATTGCATCATAGTTGCATTGTGTAGCGTTGCTCTGCATTGATTTGCAGTACTGTACATGGCGTTGCATTTCTTTGCTGTCCTTCGAATGGCTTTATATTCCAATGCATTGTTTTGCATTGCTCCACAGTGTTTCGTTGTGCCGTGCATCTCAGTGTATTGCGTTGCATGCATTCGCTCTGTATTCCGTTGCATGAGTTTGGTTTGCGTTGCATTGCTGTGCAGTGCGTTGCATTGTGTTGCATTAAGTTGTATCGACGTGCATTGTTTGCGCTGCATTGCTTTGCAGTGCATTGCAGCGCTTTGCATTGCAGTGCCTGGCATTGTGTTACAATGCAATGCATTGCATGGCATGGCTTTGCAATACTTTGCATTGGTTTGCTTTGCATTGCTGTGTATTGCTTTGCACAATATCCGCCACCGTGCCTTCAGCCCTTGGTGGAGTGCCTCAAGGCTCATGCAGCCCTGCAGCCCACAGAGGTAGAGAGGCTGAAAGGTTCGTAAGGGCCGGACCCCCAGTTTCCCAGCTACTCCTGGGAGCTCCTGGGAGCTCTGGGGATCTGCTGGGAAACTCCGGAAGCTCTCGGGAATTCCCGGGAGCTCCTGGCAGCTGCTCAGCCAGCCTCAGACGACCTCCCAAACACTCGAGATCGTTTCCAGAACCGCCTCAGATGGCTGCACAGATCCCGAGAGCGGTCCAACGCAGCTTCAAGACGACCCGATGTGGCCCCAAGACGGCCCAAAGGGCCAACAAGACGCCTCAAGGGTTCCCCATCACGTAACAAAAGGTTTCATTGCCTTTCGGAAACGTGCATATTCAGCAAATTCGCCTGTTGCGCTTTCCCGACGTCCAAGAAGGTCCAGGAGATTCCAAGGATCGCCCGAAGACGGCTCAAGAGGCTTCAAAAGGCTCAAGAGGCTTCAAGAGGGGCGCTCCAGAACGGCCCAAGGGGGCCCCGAAGATCGCCCCAAGACGGCTCAAGAGGCTTCAAAAGGGGCGCTCCAGAACGGCCCAAGGGGGCCACAAGAGAGCCCAAGAGGCCTCAAGACAGCTTAAGAGGGCCCAGAGACACCTCCAAGAGAGGCTACAGTGGGGAAAGACCCTCCGAAAATACGCTGGGAAGCATCCATGAGAGTCCCACGACCCACGACCCAGGCAAAAGACCCCAGGAGGCTCAGAACAAGCCCCACTCTCACCCACGACCCACGACCCAGGCGAGCTCCACGACGCCGCAAAGAGGCCCCCAAGAAGCTCCAAAGAAGCCTCAAAACTGCCCCACATAAGCCCCCGAGAGCCCCCGAGAAGCATCCATGAGAACTCTCACCCACGACATACGACCCAGGCAAAAGGCCCCCAGAAGGCTCAGAACAAGCCCCACTCTCACCCACGACCCACAACCCAGGCAAGATGCCCCAAGAAGCCCAGAAGAAACACCATGAGACCTTCAAACGGCCCCCATGAAGCTCCAAGAGCCCTTCGAACTCTCCAAGCGGTCCCCCAGAGGGGTCCCAAGAGACTCCAACAATCACCTCAGAGAGCTGAAACTCAGAGAACCCCCCTCACGCACGGGCATTGCGTGCGTGCGGCCCCAAGACGCCCCAAGGACGCCCCCAGGGGTCCTAAAGAAAGCACGAAGAGGCCCCAGGAAGCCCCCAAGAGGCCTCCAGGAAGCCTCAGGAGGCACCAGAGAGACCCCCAAGAGGCCCCCAAGAGGCCGCAAAACTGTCACCCAGAGGCGCCCGTCCGAAGAGACCCCCGAAGAGACATGCACGGTGGCGGGGTGGGCCGAAGGCCACCAAATCCGCCGCACCCTGCTCATCTATCACGGGAGCGCCCAACGTGCTGGACTTCGTACGGAAAGCCGCCGAAAATGCCCGTGTGGGTGCCCCAGGTGCCTCCAAGACGGCCAGGATGGCTCCAAGATGCCTCCAAGACGGCCAAGAAAGCCACCAAGACGGCCAAGATGGACCCAAGATGCCTCCAAGACGTCCCCAAATGCGCCCAAGACGGTCGAAGATAGCCTCAAGATGGCCCACGACGGCCCAAGAGGCTCCCGAGAGGCGGCCCAAGAGGCCTCCAAGAGGTCCTCCAGAAAGGCTCAAAGAGGCCAAACTCATTGATGTTCCCTGTGTTTAACGGTTGTTGTCATTTGCACCTTTTGGGCCTTCAGACGCAAGACAGCGCAACAGACCCCAAGGTCGCCCCAAGATCGACCAAGAGGCCTCCAAGATGGCCCCATGACGGCCAAAGAGGCCCCCCCAAGCCAAGACGGCCCAAGAGGCCTCCAAGACGCCCACGATGGTCTTCAGGATGGCTCTGAAGCGCCCGAAGAGGGCCCAAAGTCGGTTCAGAGAGGCCCCCAAGACGGCTTCCGATGGCGTCAGACGGGTCAGGAACGCCCTAAGACGACCAAAGAGGCCCCCAAGAAGCCCCAAAGAGGCCCCAAAAAGGCACAGGGAGGCTCCCCAGAGGCCTCCAACAGGCTCCCGGGAAGCTTCGCAGAGGGCCTCCCAAGAGGCCTCCCAAGAGGTTCCCAAGGAGTCTCCTCCTCTTACTCCTCTTCTTCCTCCTCCTCCTCCTTCCCCATCATCCCCATCCTGATCCTCGTCCTCTTGCCTCCCCACGCGTTCCCCGAAGGCTTTCCAAATCGACTCGGGGAACAACTGGCCCGATAGCTTGACCAAGTTCTAGCCCTGCTGTCGGCCACGTAGGCCCTTAGGCGCTTCCAAACGGGCAGGGGGCGGCGGTGATTCGCCCGCCATACGCGTCTCCGATCCGCCGCCCCCTACGGGCTTGCCACATGGGTGCCCCGCGTGCTAAATCCTACCGGTTTTGGTTTAGCTCTTGTTCCAAAAGAACTCTCCCTTAGGGCTCCGGCCCAGCGCGCCGGCCACCCAGAAAAACGCGCAATCGCGCACAAAGTCCCCAAAAAACAGTCCAAGACGACCCCAGATGGCCTCCAAGACGGTCAAGACAGCCCAAGGTGGCCTCCAAGATGGCTCCAAGACGGCCAAAATGGCCTTCAAGACGGCTAAGATGGCTCCAAGATGCACTCAAGACAGCCTCAGATAGCCTCTGGATGGCCAACGACTGCCCAAAAGGCCCCCAAGAGGCCTCCAAGAGGGCCTCCAGAAGGCTCGAAGACGCCCAAATCATTGATGTTCCATAGGTTTTCGACGGATTTGTCATTTACGCCTTTTGGGCCGTCAGACGGCCCAAGAGGGCCCTAAGGTCACCCCAAGATCGACCAAGAGGCCTCCAAGATGGCCCCATGACGGCCCAAGAGGCCCCCACGACGGCCCCCAGAGGGCCCCAAGACGGCCCAAGAGGCCTCCAAGACGCCCAAGGTGGCCTCCAAAACGGCCCTGAAGCGCCCGAAGGGCCCCAAAACGGTTCAGAGAGGCCCATAGACAGAATCCGACGGCGTCAGACGGGCCAGAAACCACCAAAGAGGCCCCCGACAAGCCTCCAACGGCTCCCAAGAGGCCCAAGGAGGCCCCCAAGATGCTTCCAAGAGGCTCCCAGGAAGCTCCCAGGCGGCCCCAAGAGTGCCCCCCTCCTCCTCCTCCTTTTCCTCCTCCTCCTCCTCCTCCCCCTCCTCCTCCTCCTCCTGATCTTCGTCGCCATCCTCCCAAAAGTGTTCCCCGAAAGGTTTTCACAACGGCTGGGGGAACACATGGTCCGACGGCTTCGCGGGGCTCTTGCCACAACGCTTGGCCACATGGGCGATTCCAACAGACAGGGGGCGACGGTGATTCGCCGCAGGCGTCTTCGATAAATGACACCACATGGATTGCACCACCTATATTGATCGCACCATTTCGACTTCAGCGCACAGATTGCAAGTAATAACTCTTTGGGGTTCATGCTGGCTAAAATGTGTATCCACGTATACGAATCGAAAAGGACGTGGACCACCAGCGGTGGTCCATTCCGCTGGACCAGCCCTTCACCCCGAGTCATCCCTTGGCGGCCATTGGGCATGGGGATGACCAGAGGAGGCCGACAATAGCAAGAAGCCTTCCGTTGTGACTCTCTCACGACGCGAGGGGTCTTGGAAACTTGATCTTCGAATCCTCCGATGGTGGGGGGACCGGCTACACGCAAGAGTGACCCGGGGCAACATGTACCTGTGGCACGCGGCTTCTGGAGTGCGTTCTGAAAGAATTCCGAGACGGATCTGGCCGTTCGACGAGGCCCAAAGAGGCCAGAAACGCCCAGAAACTTCTTCTCCAATCTCGATCCTCGAACCTCCACTGATCTGGACCGGAAGCCCTCCGGCGTGCTTTTGTACATCCCGCCTCCTTGCCTCCCTGGCCTCTGGCTGCCCCCCAAAATCCTGCCGCCCTCCGCCCTCCGATCGTCGATCCTTGACCCTCGGCTCGCGAGTCATCTGGCTTTCGGGTCATAACGCGGGTACCTGGCGGCCGATCGTGACGATTCGGGCACCCCGGGGACGCCCTCCGCAGGGAGCAACGGATGGAAAGCCCCCCGAGGCTGGAGAGCATTCGGAAACCCACGATGACATCTGAGAGCCCCTTGAATCCTCGAAGTCAGCATCCTCAATCCTCGAGTCATCGATCCTCGAACGCCCTCTCGGTCCTCGAAAGCATCCACAAATCGAAGATACATACTCGGAAAGAATCGAGTTCTCGACCCTCGAGCCCTCCGACGAAGAGGGGGAATTTGGACGCCCGAAGTGGGTAGGGATAATACTGGGTACGATGCCCAACAACAAACGTTGCCCAAAACCGACAGCAACCGCTGTTGGGCAGGCGGCCTTCTGTCGCGAATGGTCTTCGCAGGTTCGCGACGTGTTGACCCCCGTGTTAGTTCCTGGCAACGAAGGGGCCGTTCAACCTTGAACGATGGGCCGTTGCAGAAGCGCCAGACCGTTCCACCTTTGGCCGATTCTCGGCCACGGGCGGCGTTCAACCTTGAACGCCCGCGGCGGGGTCGCCGCCAGTTGACACGACGCGCGCCAACCCTGCCGTCGAAACTTATTTTTGCTGGCCACGTTTGACCGAATCAATCTCAACAGCAGGCCGACGCTGCGGCCTGAAAAAGACTGGCGCCGAACAGAGGAGAGGCTGTCGGCCCAGAGGCCGCTCCCGGAACGGGGGTGTGCTCCGTGGCCACCAACAGATCCGCCTGGCGTGAGTCAGATCCTGAGCCTGAGCCATCTCGACTCTGCACCACGGGAGCTCCGCCGTCCTCGCCCATCCGCGAAGGCGACACTCTCCTCGGCACCGCACCCGGGCCTGACGTGGGGGAGGCCACTGGTACAGGCACCGACTGCACGACTTCGGTGGCCCTGACCTCCCTCGAAATTGATACTCTGGCGGCGGCCTCTTCCGCCTCGAACGGTTGTTCAAGGGTGCTGTCCCCAGGTGCAGGCATGCCCCGCATCGCTGGGATCGAGTCCAACCCTCCCCGCCCAGGGTCCCCGCCTCCACCCCCACCCCACTACACAAGACCTCCTTTGCCGCAACACGGGCGCGGATGGCCGACACGCAGTCTAGCGGTATGGCTGGCAGATACAGGCGTCTGCTGCGGACTCGAGGCTTGATCAGATGCCTTCGCCTCTGCACGTGTGAGAGGGGCCTCCTGCGCCGCGCAACTGACGACCCAATCATGCTTGGGGTGGAGGCCTGGTTTTAGCCTTCTCGGCGCCGTCGTGCCAGCACTGCTCCTCTCATCATCATCCCGCGGGTGTAAACAGCTCTTCGCCAGCTTGCGTGCTCGTCGCTGGGCAACGTATCCACAGCTCATCCAAAACAAATGCGGCTGTTCCTTATTCGCGACCTGGGTGCTGGCCAAAACATGACCGTGCTCGGGGGCCAGAGCCAGGAGCCCACGAACCAGGGCGGGAAAACCTCCGCAGCCAACGTCGGGCCGCTGCCTCGGTTTTTTATCACACGTTATTCCCTACCTAGGCTCTGCCTAGAAGGGTTCTTACTCTCTTAGCTTAAAGGGGCCGGGCAGTGCAAAGCGCCCCCGGCGGTTCCCCCAGTCCCCGCCCCGCGGTTCCCCCAGTCCCCTGGGAGCTTTAGCTTTAGCTTTAGCTTTAGTTTTAGCTTAGCTTTAACTTATCTTTAGCTCAACTTTAGCTTAGCATTAGCTTAGCTTTAGCTTAACTTTAGCTTTAGCTTAGCTTTAGCATGATTTTAGCTTAGGTTCAGCTTAGTTTCAGCTTAGCTTTACCTTAGCTTTAGCTGAACTTCAGCTTCACGTCAGCTTAGCTTCAGCTTAGATTTAGCGTAGCTGTAGTTTTGCTGCTTCAGCTTAGCTTCAGCTTAGCTTTAGCTTAGCTTTAGCTTAGCTGTAGCTTAGCTTTAGCCTATGTTTAGCTTAGATGTAGCTTAGTTTTAGCTTAGCTTTAGCTTAGCTTTACTGTTACTACGAATGCTGCTTTCCTAGGGGCTCCAACTCCTAGGTAGGGTCGCACTGGCATAATCACACTTGTTCAGTTGCTTACCACACAAGTGCTTTATCATACATGGTGTTGGGTCACACTTGTTGTATCTCTCTTGGTGTTCTGTCACACTTGTTCCTTATCAAAGTTGTATCACTCTTGTTGTCTATCACACTGGTCCCCGGAGTAAACACTTAGGCAGCTCGATGTCGGCTCTCCGCTTGGCCATGCCGATCGCCCGCTCGGGCTCGGCCAAAATTTCAGTCTCCTCCAACTCGCGGTGAGCAGGGGCGTGCACAGCTGGGGCGTACCACGCCTGAGTCCACCGAATTTGTGCTTACTACACGTCTGCGCATGCACACTCTTGTTGTGTAACGCGACCGCGTTCATACAATCACTGTAATGCTCGACCATGGAACTCTAGCACGAGAATCGGCATTAGCGCTAACTGCAGCTGCTCCGCAGCCTGGCTGGTCTGTGGAAGGCTTGGCCACACCGTACCCCGCGCCACGTGTGTGAGATCCCCTTCGGCTATCGAAGAAAGCCCAAGAGTCCCAGCCCGAGCTTTCTTGACCTGCTCGCGGGTACATTTGAAACACCTATGGGCGATCGAGTCTGGCTCCCGGCAGAGAGGACAACGACCGCCAGAGAAATACCCAACCTCATTCGCTCAGTCTTCCGTCCAGGGTACATTGCAGAAGAACAGGTTTTGACCAGGTACTTGCCTCGAGCATCGAGACCAATACCCTTCGTGTTCTTCGTGGTTCTACGAATCGGGTCCGCACACACTCTGGACCCAGAGCTCCAACCCAACTTCTCTGCGAGTCGACTTTCGTGATGACGATGAACACCCGCTTGGACGAGGTGACTTACAATGGAGATAATTGCACAAGAGGAAGAGCTCGTTACCTGTATCATCCCTCCAGTCCAGGGGAGAGAAGGCCACCCATCCAATCCGTTGGAGCGACAAAAATATCCTGCTTATGGGGCCCTTATTTTCAGCCCAGTTCAGTCCTGACTGGTCGATGCTGCGCCACATGGCGCAGAGCTGGGGCAGGCTGAAGAGGGCAAACTGCGGCACCGTGATGGTGCTCCACAGTGCGCCCAGGCGATAGCTGGCGCCACCATACTGCGCCACAAAGGATCCCCATTTAGCACGATCTTGGCCCTCGTCGAGGTTCCAGCGTGGTGTGGGGCCTGGAAAGACATGAGCACGCTTCGTCCACACTTAAGTTCAACATCGGTCATCCCTATCACCGTATCCCTACAACTACGAGCAACTGTCCTGGGCAAGATTAACCGCAAGCTCCGAGGTGAGAACGGTCAAAATTGATAGTAAGCATGCCGCGGTAAGCATGCACGCCTCTCGGACGCCCATGTCGGGGCTCTTCGAGCGGGGCTGGCAATCGCACGTGGTGAAGGATGGACCAAAGGGGCACAGATCCAATATTAATTACCCTTGGGAAGGGCACCTATCCTTACCATCGGCTTCGACCGCACCCACTCTTTCCCCCACTCTCTCTCTCTTGGGAGCCAAACAAAAATGCGGATACCGCTGCTCCCCGGACCTCGTCCGGGGTGCGTTCTGACCCAAATTCCAAGGCGCGTCCAGCAGTGGCGACGAGGGCCTCCCAGGCGGCCCAAAAGGGCGACAAAGAGGGAAGGGCAGCGGCTCGCATGGTTCCGTACAGGGCTGAACCTAAACGGTGTGTTTCGTGCTCGTTCTCTTTTAATGCTCCCTCGTTTTTGCCTCGAATCCCCCTTTCCCGCAAAACGAAGTCGAAACGACAACGGCCCACGACATCACCCAAAACACGGTTTGGGTCCGGCCCCGGGCGCCCATCCCGATCGCACCCGAGGGGAGGCGACGCGCGCCTCGATGCTCCCGTCCGCCCCGGCGCACGGCTCGCCCTGCAGGCTCCCCAGGGAGCCCCACACCTGCGCGCTCTGTCCGCGGGGCGGGCGGCGGCGGGGTGGGCGGCGAGCGAGAGGCCGCGCGGGGGGGCCGCGGAGGCAGAGGCCTCCCAGAACGGAAAGGGGCCCAATGAGGTGGACCCAAAGCACGTCGACGCAAACTCCAGGATTCCCTCGAAGTGGCGGATCTTTCCTGAGGTCTCTCTCCTCTTCCCCACCCACTTCCCATGTGTTCCCATACTTTGCCGGAAGATTGTTTGTACTTGTGCTATTGTTTCCCTGACACATGGCGTCCGAGTAGATGAGGTCGGAGGGCCGCGCCGCATCTCCGATGCATCGGTGATGCATCAAGATACATCGGCGACACCAGCGTGGAGAAGATCGGGCTCCACATCGAGGCGCATCGGCGATGCATCGGCGATGCAGCGTGATCCTCCGACCCCCATCTACTCGGACCCCGATCCCATTTGGGGGGCCGGGAGGAGGCCGCCCAGCGCCCCGAAGGAGCTCTTGGTCGGAGCGAGGCTCGTCGAGACGACAGCGTGTTTGTTGGTGCTGGCTATAACTCTTCGTCTTCTCTGGGCCTCCTGGATCCTTCTCGTCGCCGCGGCCGGGTCCGCCTCGAGCAAGGGGGGGGCAGGACGGACGGATCCCTTGGAAGGTTGTCCGTGGACCGATCCAGAGCGGACTTGCCACGCCGATCCGCCCGATGGTGCAGATGTGGGCAACGGACTGTGCAACAAATTGCGGCATAGATGTTTTTCGCCCGGGTTGGTTTTCGCCCGGTTCGTTTCGCCCGGTTCGCTTCGCCCGGGTTTGCTTTCGCCTGGTTGGCTTTCGCCCAGGTTGGCTTTCGCCCAGGTTGGTTTTCACCCGAGTTGGCTTTCGCCAGGATTGGCTTTCGCCTGGGTTGGCTTTCGCCCGAATTGGCTTTCGCCCGGGTTGGCTTTCGCCCGGGTTGGCTTTCGACCGGGTTCGGTTTCGCCCTCGTCTTCCTCCTCTCCTCCTCCCGCGCTCCTGTCCTTGTATGCTGCTGCTGCTCCTGTTCCTCCTCTCCTCCTCTGGCACCTCTTGCCCGCGGCAGGCTGCCTGGAGCTCCGTTGCGTGCCCGCAGCAGCACTGGAAGTATCACCCCCCGCCTTCTTCCCAGACGGCCTGACCTACACATGCACACCACCCTTGCTCAGGCCCCCCTGAGGCCCAGGGTCAGTCAGTGCTACGTGGCCCCCTGGCAAAGCCAGACGCGTGCTCACTCACTCGAGCGTGCCCCACACTTTCGTGCCCCACCCGCCCGACCTGACCCGCCCGTCAGGGTCTGCCCGACCCGACCCGACCAGTTCCATCCCTTAGTGTCCGCCCGCCCGACCCGACCCGCCCGTCAGGGTTCACGCGTGCTCGCTCGGGCGCGCCCCGCATTTTAGTACCCCGCCCGCACAACCCCACCCGCCCTTAGAGTCCGCCCGACCGACCCGACCCGTCCCGCCCTGAAGGTCCGCCCGCCCGACCCGACCCACCCGTCAGGGTTCACGCGTGCTCGCTCCGGCACGCCCCACACATTAGTGTCCCGCCCGACTGGACCGACCCGCCCGTTAGGGTCCGCCCGACCCGACCCGATCCGTCCCGCCCGTTGGGGTCCGCCCGCCCAACCTGGCCCGCACATCAGGGTTCACGCGTGCTCGCTCCGGCGCGCCCCACACTTTAGGACCCAACCGACCCGACCCATTCCGCCCGTTAGGATCCGCCCGCCCGACCCGACCCGACCCGCCCGTCAGGGTCCGCCCGCCCGACCCACCCCACGGCCCGTTATGCTTCACGCGTGTTCGCTCTGGCGTGCCCCACACATTAGTGCCCCGCCCGTCCGACCCGACCCGTCCGTCAGGGTCCGCCCGCCCGACCCGACCCGCCCGTTAGAGTTCACGCGTGCTCACTCGAACGCGCCTCACACTGTAGTCTCCCGCCAGCCCGACCCGATCCGCCCGTTAGGATCCGCCCGCCCGACCCGACCCGCCAAGGTTCACGCGTGCTCGCTCCTGCGCGCCACACACTTTCATGTCCCGCCTGCCCGACCCGACCCGCCCGTTAGGCTCCGCCCGCCCGACCCGACACGCCCGTTACGGCTCACGCGTCCTCGCTCCGGCGCGCCCCACACTTTGGTGTCCCGCGTGCCCGACCTGACCCGCCCGTTGAGGCCCGCCCGACCCGGCACGACCCGACCCGCCCGTCAGGGCCCGCCTGCCCGACACGACCCGCCCGTTGGAGTTCACGTTTGCTCGCTCCGGCACGCCCCACACTCTAGTGTACCCGACCCGTGTCACGCCCGCCCGCCCGACCCGACCCGCCCGCCCGATTCCCGCCGCCCGTTCCGCCCGACCCGACCCGATAGTTCACGCCTGCCCGCTCCGACCCGCCCGTTCGGGTCCGTCCGCCTGCCCGACCCGACCCGCCCAGTTGGGCCCGCCCGATCCGACCCGACCCTTCCCGCCCGTTAGGGTCCGCCTGCCCGACCCGACCCGCCCGTTAGGGTTCACGCGTGCTCGCTCCGGCGCGCCCCACACTTTCGTGTCCCGCCCGCCCGGTCCGACCCGCCCGTTGGGGCCCGCGTCCGCCCCGGGCGAAAGCCGATCCCGTCGAAAGCCAACGAACCCATCCCCGGCGAAAGCCAACCCCGGCGAAAGCCAAACCGGGCGAAAGCAAACCCAGGCGAAAATCATCCGTGCACAAATTGCAAGGGGTGTTTGTTCGAGATCGCGCGCGCCTCTCGCGCGCTGCAGCGCTGGCGCGCGACGCACAAGCGCCGCGACCAAAGCGACGCCGCGAGCACCTCACAGCGGGAGCGCGAGCGCGCGGAGCAGGAGGAGGAGGAGGAGGAAGAGGAGAAGGAGGAGGAGGAGGAGGACGCGACAGCCTGGCGGCAGAGCGTCCAGCTGCATCATCGGCTAGCGCCCAGATGCCTCCTCCTTGGGCCGTATGCTGGCTGCCAATTCTCGCAGACGGTCCGAATCGACCAAGTGCGAGGTGCCTGCAGCACGTGGGCCTGGAGGGGCAAGGAGCACCGTCTTGGGCGGTACCCGCGCAAGTGCCACAACGTCGTCGCCCTCAGGATTCTTTCTAATGAGGGCGCAGGCCAGCACGGAGGCGAGCAAGCGCACCGCTTCTAAGGTGCCCAGCTTTCTTTCACACTCCTGGCCCAGCAAGTGACAACGCCTGCTGGTGGAGGCACCACAGGCATAAAAAAAAGAAAAAACATCGGCGGTCTTTGCATGTTGTTCACCGCAGCAAATCCCAACCTATGGTGGCTCTCCGTCTCCGCGCCACGGAGGCGTCGGAGAGCAGTGGAAACGCCAGCACAACCATTCATAGGTCGGAACTCGCCGTCGAACGAAATCATGAAACATCGCGCACATCGAAAGGCGCTCTGCTCGCTGTCCAGATATTCCCAATCGCGCTAGTCGGGAGGGAGCGGCACGCGAGGCAGGCGTCGAACCTTCGGGGCTCTCTCGGGGTCCTAGGTGATAACGGGAGGACACTGCCGAACGTCTTAGCACAGGAGCGAAGGACCTGCACCCGCTTATCGAACTCAGCCAGATCAGGAGGTGCAGGCTGAAGTTGGGGCGAGAGGGCGAACTTAGCAGGCGATCCGCGTCCTGGCTCGCCAGAGCGATTCGCTTCCGAGCAGGTGGCAGCTCCTGAATTACGGCGTCAGATCGGCGGGCTGGGGCGCGGTCGGCCTCTCCAAGAGCCTCGCATCCAGCAGACTGCTGGGCCGCTTGACGAAGCCCCGCAAGCATCTCCTTGGGACTACGCGGGGCCACGTCCGACAGGTTGCGCAGCCGCGCCGCGCCTGCGCAGCCGCTGCAAGGGGGTGACATGCCGAAACCAGACTCACAGGCCACTGCATGGCCCAAATATTCGGCAGCCCGGGGCGCCCGGTACAGCGCGGGCCACGCGGCGGCCACGGAGCGGGCCCGAACCTGGCGCATCCCTGGGCGCCAAGAAGTCCCGCACAGACAGCACGGCTCAAGTGCAAGTTTGGACACTGCGTTGCAGAGCCGTCGACCACTGAGTCGACCACCAGGTCGCAGCTCTCACTCCGCCCCACGAACTCTTCACGCGGCAGTGGCTGCCCACTGGTATCTTGCAAGGGGGCGCGCGCCGAGGGGGGGGGGGGATGACTCATCTGGCTGCGCCATTATCAGGCGAGACCAAAAGTCACGCTCAACAGGTGAGCTGTTCCAGGCAGCCTCAATTATGTCCGAGTCGAGGGCTTCACTGCGAACCTCAGCTACCTCGGGGCACCCGCAAGGCCACTGGCGATGAAATAGAAAGCCAGGGGCCCCGCACCACGCACGCTTGCCATCCGAAACGCACCCCGATCCATGCAATCGGCCGGCCGCCCAGCAGCCGCTGGAGGAGAATAAAGATAAAGAGCAGCTCCAATATTTAGATCGCGGCGTGGTTCGCCTCGAACGGAGGATGGAGCGGAGGGGCCCACGCGCGCGCGCCATCGAATGAAGGGGGGCTCGAGACGAGACGTCGCTAGTGATATCCCAGGACTCCTGACTGCAACGAACTTGCTACCATGGCAGTGCTATTGTAAACATAGCTGAACATCATTACCTGGAGCATTCCTACAAACGTTAAACCCAACCGCCTGCCATCCTATACGCTCTAGGCGCAGGAGCACGCGCTGGCCTGGCCTCCGAGGGTGACGCCACGCCGAGGCCTCGAGAGAGAGCTGCTGGCCCTCCAGTTCCTCAAAAGCCTGATGCGGTCACGAAATGAGGAGGGGCTGGCACTCGAAGTGGTGATTCTTCTCTACAGATTGGTAGCCCAGTGTCTCTCAGGAGCCGTCGCCTGTAACCAGGCAGGGTCGCCGTGAACGCGCGCCGCGGCAGCGGCGGGGAGCGCCGCGGCGCGCGGGCGCAAAGCCTGCCAGCAGGACGCGGCGGAGCTCATTTAGTTCTGGGTCGGACATCCCCAGGGCCATGGGCCCGCGCCCCGCGGCAGGCCTGACCCCGCATATG